ACGCCGCGTTTGACACGATCGAACGGACGGACGACTGACTCCCTGCGCTTGTTAATCCTCTTACCGCAAAACAAACTCCACCGGTGTAGACGATTAAAGCGATGACGCAAAGGAGAACGGGGACCAGCTGAGCCGTGGAGAGAAACGAAGGCGTTGAGTAGCGGGTACGGGAACACCGGCGCGAGAAACGAGCAAGCAAGCAAGCAAGCGAGCGAGCGAGCGTGCGCGCGCCACGGAATAAATAAAGCTGCGACCGGCTGTGTTCGCTCTTTCCTCCCGTTGCCGTTCACCGAATTAACCGTAATAACCGATGCATTTAGCCGCGACATTCAAAACTTGCGCACGAAACACCATCGCCGTTTCGCTTGTCCCCGAGCGCCATCGTCCCCCTCCCTCCGCCCTCTTGCAGTTTTACCACCGCCACCGGCGGAACTCCATCCGTCCTGCCGCGCCGCATATCATTACCATGCAAATACGCTTGGCGTGCGGCAAAGCCCGTGTAAAATCGTTCCCAACCCTCGCGTTCGTCCCGCGCCATCCCGCCACCGCCGGCAGTATTCATCTTCCTCCCATGTTACGTCGCGGTCCCTTTCGCTCGTTCCCACCTCCCACGCCCGCGTCCGCGTCCACCCGCCGATCCCACTTCGCACCAGCTACCCAGTCACATATGCAAAACGTGCCACTATTATAATAACATTACGCCGATGAACCTTCCATTGAATATGCGCTCCGCGATCGTGGATTGCATCGCTAATTATCTAGCGGGTGGCGTGATTCGCACGGGGATCGGGCCGATCGCGATTTCCAACGGAACGTCTCGCCACGTCGTCTGTTACACGTCTGTTACACGTCTGCCCACCTTGCTCCGCCGTTGTTTTACTATTTTATGATCGATACCGCCCTCCCTCCCAAATCTCCTTCGCTGGTCGACAACGTGACCATCGCGCGTTTCACCGCAACTCGTTTCCCGTGAAAGTCGAACGACGAAATCGTACCGCGGCGTTCGGCACGTACGCGTGTGCGTAATATTTTTTCTCTTCTCTCGATTTTTATTTTTTTCTCTTCCTTTTTTTTTTTCTTTTTTTCCCATCGACGAAACGGTGTCGTAATTTTCGCGACACGATAC